ATAGCACATGGTAATTAAAAGTACCAGACTGGTGGAACTAACCTTATTGGATGTTTAACAGCCATACTTTGAGGCCTATACTAATCCGGTCAGAGGGGCTTAAAGGACAGTTTTTGGCCCTTGCCCTTCAAGGTCAACTAAATTCTAGGGGACTATGGAACATCTCTCAAAATGTCCTGGAACTGTGGTGAGTCACCTGTCCTCTTGTTCAGGGAGGCCAAGGAGACCCCATGAGATGGACTTGAACCAGTGTCCCATCTACAAATAGGAGGGTCAACACAGAGAAAACATTTCCTCCATGCTTCCAAGTGAAGCCAACCATGGTCAAGTAGGACCTTTGACTTATCTTCACATAGATGGAACTGGTAAAAGAAAGGAGCCAGGGGCTGCTCCCAAGCTCATATGACCCCTGAGGAACAGAGCCTCAAACGATCTTAAGAGTAAAAATAAATCGGTTTATCTGGTCCAACTGTATGGCCTTAAACACCCAAAAGAAAAGAAAAGAAAAAAAAAAGAGTACTGACTGCTTTTGCAGAGGACTCAGCTTCCATTCCCAGCACCCACATGGCAGCTACAAACCGTCCTTAACTCCAGTTCCCTAAGTTCCGAAGCCCTCTTCTGATTTCTGTGGCATTGCACGACACAGATTCACTTACATACATTCAGGCAATACACTCATACACATAAAATAAAAATAATAAAATTTTTTAAAAAAAATAGAAATTGAAAGGCAATTGAACACTGCATTACAAGTATTTACATCCTTATCATAATAGAACTATAAAATTAAAATGACACAGAACTCTTACAGAAGACCCAGGTTTGGCTCCCAGCACCCACTTGATGGCTAACAACTGTCCGTAACTCCAGTTCCAGGGGATTTCACAACCTCTTCTGGCCTCCGGGGGGAATTTCACACAGCATGGGTGCATTCACATACATACAGGCAATACATTCATACACAAAAATAAATATAAATTTTTTTAAATTACATCATATAGAAAAGAATGAGGCCCCAGTATGCAACATGTAAAAATGCTTTTTGTTTTTTTTTACTTACTTTACTCTCTTATCTGTGAACCAGTCTACCATATTAGACCAAACATTACCTGAAAGCAACAAAAAAATAACATTTCTGAGCTCAGACAGAATTGGTACAAACATATTTATGGTACAAACATATAAACATAACATAAAAACACAGTTTGAAGTGGAGATAATCTTACTGTATGGTGATAGATATATACAAGAGATTTTTAATAAAGTTGCTTTGGTGAAGACTGACAAAAATTCAGGCAAATAACTAAACTCCTCCTCTAGCTAAAATAACATGAAAAGTAAAATAATTTCAGCATATAATAAGTTGATCTTTGAAGACTGGGGAGATGGCTCAGTGGGTAAAGTGCTTGCTTTGCAAGCATGAGGCCCTGAGTTTGATTCCCAGCATCCATGTGAAAGTTGAGCTCAGGGATGCATGCCTATAAACCTACTACTGGGAAGATGGACACATGCAGACCCTGTGAGCACTGAAAAGCTAGCCTAACCAAAATGGGGATTTCCAGGTTCAATAAGAGAGCCTATCTCTAAAATAAGGTAGAAAGCAATTGAGGAATATATCCAGATATCAACCTGCGGCCTCCATATGTGCCTGCACGTGGGGTTGCACACACAGAGAAGCATAAAACACACAGAAACACATGCTCGCACACACACAAACACACACAGCTATACTTTGACATGGTAATGATTGAACTAGTTGGGTTTTGTTTCCTTATACTTTGTGTTCTGTGAAAAATAAGTACAAGAGAAATAGTGATTAGGATAAATTTGAACACAATCAATTACAATTACTGAAATCATGAAATTATCTGACAGTAGTCCTAAGATATATTTATTTACATAATCCTACTAAGAAACAAAAAATGTTTGAATTAATTTGACAAATTTGGAAAATACAATAGTTTGATGAAAGTTGCTATATAAAGATAAAACCCCTATCTTCTTAATTTCTTTAAATCTGATCAGAAGCTAGTAACAGTATTAAAAAAGAAGGCAGTTTTTAGCAGGCAGCATTAAAAAACAAATAATTTAGTATCCAGTGTTTTAGGTCTGAAAGAAAGTATGGTAAGAAAACGTACTTTATCCAAGAGATGAAAATCCCAAACATTCAAAATACTGCATTCAATTTCTGCACTTATCAATTCTATTAATTATCCAAATAGTTTCAAATTTAAGTGGGTCTTCAAATAAAAATCATAAAGGAAATTCAGGAACAAGAGGAAATTTATGGAATTTTGTAAGGTACCTTCATTATAGCCAGTAGTCTGTATCATCTAAAACAAAATAAGTACTAACTAGAGAATCTTTATTCCTGACTATTTATATAAGGCAGATAGACTGATTTTATATAAGGCAGATAGACTACACTGATTTTGTGCTAGTTACATATTACTACTGACTCAGGAAATTTTACATGCAAGGCATTGATTTCATATGGAAGTTATGTGCCTAAAAATACTTATTATCATCTTCCAAACTAATGACCAGTATTAGTCACAATCACAACTTTTACTGCCACTCTCTTTAATCATGCAAGATGTTGCTGGGCAAACACCTACAACCCTGTCTAGTAACCACTTTATACTCTACCAGCTCTATCATCTATCTATCTATCTATCTATCTATCTATCTATCTATCTATCTATCATCTATCTATCTATCATCTATCATGTGTTTTGGATACAAGGTCTTGCTGTGCAGCCCACACTGGCCTCAAATTCATTATGTAGCTAAATTTCACGTCAAACCCACAATCCTCCTGCCTCAGTCTTCTGACTTCTGAGATTACAGGCCTGAACCAACACACCTAGCTTATAGCACTATTTAGTATTTAATAAAGAATGGAGCCAGGCATGATGATTCATGCCTTTAATTCCAGCACTGGGGAGGCAGAGGCAGGTGGATCTCTAGAAGACAGAGGCCAGCCTGGTCTCTGTAGGAGTTCCAGCTGGAGCTATAGGGAAAAAGGAAAGAAAGGGAAGAAAGGGGAGGGAAGAAGATAAGGGAGGAGAAGGGGAAGGGAAGGGAAACGGAAAGAAAGGAAGGAAAAGGGAGGGGAAAGGGAAAGGGAGGGGAAGGGAGGAGAGGGAGAGAGAAGAAGAGAGAGAGAGAGGGAGGGAGGACAGAAGGGAGGAAGGAGCGAAAGAAAACAGTAAACAATTGTGTGCGTGCTATCTTCTAAGTCATTTATATACCAGCAACTCATGTAATGTTCACAACAACCCTGTGAGACGACTGCTACTGGTCTTTCTGTTTTTACATGAGGACAAGGCCCACAGACCTACTTGTTCAAGTCCTAAGCTGGTGAGTAATGGAGAGAAACATAGGAGTGACATAGCATTAAATTTCTAATCCTGGGAGTTGGATTCCCTTTGAGTACTCTTTGTCGAATACAACTGACACCATTATAGGTGCTTAATATTTTCTCAAATAAATAAGGTGTCTTTTTGCTTGTATTTCTGAGGTGCTGGGGATCAAACCTAAGGCGTCACACATGCTAGATAAGCACTTTATCACTGAACTACTTTTCCAGCGCTGAAATAGTTCTTAATAGTGGCATATACAATGGGCCATGTCTCACTTTTCATGAATATGGGAGCAAAATGAGAACAAGCAAAGTACCAACAAAGCTTTCAAAGTTTACGAAGTCCAAATAATTGAAATGATCAAAGAGGGAGGGGAAGCTTGCTAGAATATTTTAAGGATGAATACTAAACAGACTCAAAAAGATGAAACGGAAATTTTCATGTCGTCCAGTGGTAATGTAGTTCACCAGGCGTGGCCTTGAAGAAACCACCTCCTTGTCTATGAACCCCTCCAGCGCCGTCTGAAGCCCGTCCCCATCTGGCAGTGGCAGGGGCTGAACTCCTGAGCTTGAACAGGAATGTAGGTTCCCAACTCCCAACCTGCGCTCCTGAAGCCAGCCAGGGTCAACCTGTGCTAAACACTGCTGGAATGCCCTTCGGATCGGGGTACCAGCGACACCACAGAGGACCCCTCAGGAACAGCATCCTCTGTTCACAGACTACTTGGCTCGGTGGCTGGGGCTGGCCTCCCATTCGCCGCCACTGATGGCTCCTTCAGGGCACCAGCTGCACCAGCCCCCTAGGGGCTCACCAGCGCAGCCAGCTCGGCCAGCTCCTGCCTTCCAACCCACCCAGCACCTACCACAAGCCAAGCACCTGTGCCCTCTGCCACCCCGGGGCCCTGTGCGGCGAGGGAGAAGCCAAGTCCCCCACGGGTAGCGCCTGGAGGCCGTGTCCCACAGGCCTGATCTGACAGCAAGGCATGAGGCCTGGGCTTCTGCAGGAAGCCTCTAATGGCGGGCTCTATCCCCACTGCTGATTGGCTGCAAGATACCGCGAGATTCCCAACTCTCTCAGAGGCTTACCGCCTTGCGCCTGCTGCCTATAGCTCCTGGCTGATTCTTACTGTGACCAGGTGATTGGCTTTCAAGCGAAAGTATCCTAAGCCTGCTTTTTTGTTTGTTCAACTTTTACCCAAACAAACCCTAAATTATTTATATGTATTTACAATGTGTATAGAGTCTTACTTGAAGTGGCAACTCTATGTATAATGAATGATCCAAGGACATTGGTGGCAACAATCAAAAAATACAATGTGTAGAACCCTGAGACCCTCTTCATTCACCCGCTACGCCCCAATCCCTCCAGACCCCCCCACTAATTGCTTTTTTAGCTTCTGTAAAATGCTTGGCTACTGCTTTAGACATGCCTAGACATACCCTGGCATGCCCTGACCCCCGCCTGCTATCCACCCCCCCTTCCAGGAAACTATAGATTAAGCAAGCCCTGGCATGAAAACTGCCCTAGAAGGTAAAAACGGAGACTCCTAGCCCCACAGGTAACAGCACATTCCATAGCTCTGAGAACAACACCTACCAATAAGAAACTTCCAGGGCTGCATCTTATACATCCAATCGGTTTAAAATTATGTTGGCTCCTTGAAACAACCAAAATATATCTTCGGTATTCCCCGCCCCCCCCCCTTTGTCTAAAACCTATAAAAGGCTCCACTCTCCCTTACTCTGGGCTCTCAGCATGGATCTGTTGAGTTGGTGAGGTCTGAGAGCCTGAGCTTAAGCCCGAATAAACCATAAACCTTTGCTTTTGCATTTTGGTGTGTTGGGTCCTCGGTGGTCTTTTTGGGGTCCAGTGGATGAGGTACAACAAGTGGTCACTATAGGCAAAGCACCAGACTGAGTAAATTAGAAGTGCAAACAACCAAAGCACAGAGCCCCAGTTTTCTGTGAGTTACAATCTGGTTGTTGCAGGATGTTAAATACAGCCAACTGAAATGACTGCAAAAGAAACTAGATATTCAGGCACACTCCTGTAATCTTGTATTCAGGAGGCGGAAGCAGGAGGATCACCATGAGTTCTAGGTCAAACTATGATACAGAGTGAGCTCTTGTCTCAAAAAGCATTTTAAAAATTTACTGAGAATGACTATATGAAAATACAATAACACTGACAACCAGGTTGCAAGGTGGTAATTGTCAAAGTAGTCTAGAGGAGTAGAAACAGACCCAAAAGAGTCCAGCAAAGAAAAAGGAAGAGATAGAGAAAGAAGATATGAGAAAGCAGCAAGAACAATAGTAGGCAGAGAGGCAAGAAGTCAACGTCACGTGTAGAAAAAAGACTGGCAGGAAGATACTGACATGGCTGTCTTTAGCCACGATGACAGGTAGAATTCAAAGCAGAACTGAGAACAGAAAGGCTTGAAAAGCTTTTCATTTGGTAAGAATACTTACGTAAAGTTAAAACTAAGGGAGGCATGGTTTCCAAAGAGTTTAGTGCCGTTTTAAAAAATACAAATGCTTCGTATCGGGACAACAGGAAAGACACCTTGAGGGCATAACAAGGATTGACCAGACCCCACCCACACTGTTCCCTTAAAGAAAAGAGTACCTTCAAGGGACCATGCTTACCTTGAGCCACCTGGGAAGTTTTCTCCACAGGATTCATTTCACCTTGCTCAGCTGCTCAGCACCCAGAGGCCACTTCAGTCATGGTGTAAGGGGATCTAGCTACCACTACAGCTCGGGGTGGACTTCGGCATCATCTGCATGGTGCTAGTTTTTCAAGCATGCAAAATGCAAATGTTGAAGGATTGTGGAGACTTCCACATCAATTTCAGAGGAAGACCTGAGAAATCAGACGACATGGGAACCGATTAGGGGAAACTGCAGCAGCCCCTGGGAGGGCAATGCATGAAGCTATGAGAGTAAAGTTGAAAGTACCATAGAGATTTCAGGAAGACAGATGCCAGGAGAGTAATACATTTGCCAAGGAAAGGTAGTGAGTACAGCCAGCCCAAGATACAGGTCATGTGGACTATAAATGGCAAGGTCATAGGGGCAGGGCTGCCAAAGTCCTCCGGGATCACACATAAAATGCACACGAGGTGGGAATTATAAATTTACAGGATTTAATAATCACCCTGCTGCATTTGGTCCCACTTTGGTCCCATCTTTCCTTTCTATACCCCATGTCCCCTTCAGGATTATAAATGTTTATTCTGTGCCATATGTTCCAGCTGTGTGTTAGAAATACCAACTTTTTGTTTTTACAGGTGCTCACAGCTAAGAGCACCTTAGCTGACTTCACTTGACTTCGATTTTTTTTTTAATATTGTTCTTTTGAGACAAGTTCTCACCATATATCCCTGTTGGTCTTGAACTTTCAATCTTCCTCCCACCTCCTCCTAAGTACTGGAATCACAATGTGTGCCAGATTGACATCAACACTATATTTGGCTTTCCGTTTGGACTTTCAAATAATGTTAGAGCTGTTAATACTTTGGGGACTCTTGAACATGAACTAGATCCATTTTGTATCATGAAATGGCCAGAAGTATCTGGGTATGAGGGAAGGAATGGTGTGATTTGAATATGAAATGTCATCCACAGACTCACGTGTTGAATACTTAGCACTTTGGGGAGAGATAGAAACTTTAGGAGGAAGGAGGTTACTGAGAACTTGCCTTTTGAGATAATATCTGTGCCTGAGTCCCGTTTCCCTGTTGCTGTGTGGTTCTGCCTCACCACCAGCCCAAAATCAACAAAGTCAAGGAGGAGCAATTAAAACTTCTAAGCTCATGAGTTATAAAGAATCTTTTCTGCCTTAATAAAATAAATCCATTGTTAATGAGTGTTGAAATGCTCCAAAATTTATTTTGATGATGCTTAAGTTTACTCTGAGTACTCCTGGATCAACTATCTCCATTCTAATCTTGTCTTTGAGGACAAGATACATGTAGACTAGGAGTCCTTCTTCAGGTGGCCTACAAGAGATTGGTTGTCCTTAAGATACAGTGAGCACTAGACAACTTCTCACTTCATGATAACCTGTCTGTATGCTCACCGACACATTCAGTGCTGTGGCAGTTGACTTTGTGGAGATGAATGGAATAAACCATAGTAGGACTAAAAACAGGTGGAACTCAGTTTCCTGGAAACCACTCCCCACCCCCTGTTCCTAGAAAAGACATGGATATTCCTCCCCTTTGTAAGCCAATCCTTTACCCTGGCCTGATGGTGCAGTTCTGTAATCCCAGTCACTTGTGCTGAGACTACAGAGTTAAGGCCAGCCTGGGCAACTTAGTGAGACCATGTCTCAAAGCAAAAAGAAACAAAACAAAAAGTATAAAAGGGAGAGATAGCTCTATGGTAGAGCCTAGAATAAGCAAGGCCAAGCATCCAGATCCCAGTGCTGAGAAAGAAAAAAAGCAAATCTATCTTTGAACCTCTCCCCCCACCAAGTCTTTTCCTCATCTCTCTAATCTTCTGACCCCTCACAGATTGGGAGACAGATTTGCAATCTATATCTCAGTTCTGTCCTTGGTTAAAAATTTTTTCCTTTGCTGTTCACTTGGTGCTTGGACTTGTTATTGGTTCCACAACTCCAAGAAGGAAGAAGGATTCCTTTTAGGGACAAAAACTGGAAACAACTGCGCAGTTTTATGAATATACTAAAATCTACCTGATAGAACAATGCAAATAAGTGAATCATGTGACTTAGAATCACAGATCAATACATTTGTTTAAAATAAGTATGTCATGGGAAGGAAACAGACTTCTAATAAATGTAAAAGTAGTTATGTAATGTAGACTTCTTTGCTCAAGAATGTTGTATTTCATGATTAGGTGTTAAAGAAATTTTGCTCTCCTAGCATTTTCCAGTGTTTTACTTTTTTAAAAAATATATTTAATTATATGTATGTGGGGGGGGGTACATGTGAGTGTAAGTGATCCTGGAAGCCAGAGGCATCCATCTGATCCCCCTGAAGCTGGAGTAGCAAGTGGTTGTAAGTCACCTGACATGGGTGCTAGGAACTAAACCCAGGTCCTCTGGAAGAGCAGTAAATGTTCTTAACCACTCAGCTATCTCTCCAGCCCCACCAGTGCATTTCTTTAAGGAAATCATACCAGCTTAAAATTTTTAGTAGTCTTAGTTTACAGTCATTGCAGTTTAGAAAAACTATTTCCCACTAGATGGCACTGCTGTGCAAAGTGTATTGCACTGCTTTCCATCAATAAAATTATCACATTACTATATCATTTTCATTCACCTTGATTGTTCTGAGAAAGACAAAGAAAAGTGAAAAGATATGGCAAGATACTTCCTACACTTTATAAACTGCAGGGTAAACAGAGGTCTTGTTTTACAGATACAGGATGTAATACAAGAAGAAATATTAACAATCTTGTGTGTTCAATCTCGTGGGACAATCCATAATTCCTGATCCTTAGTGACCATCAAGCAGTTATACAATAGAAAGGGTACTAGTGGACACTATAGTTAAAGAAAACTAGAAAATTAAATCCTCTTCTGCATTATACACATTATTTCACTTGGTCTCTAAACTATTAGCTCTGTATAATCACATTGCTAACTCCATGATAGAACAAAGAGTGACCAGCCATTTTGCTTGATACTTTATCTCTTGTGTCTAGTATATTACCCAATTCATAATAAAAAGTGCAAATATTTGCTTCCAAGTGTGGTGTTACACATATATAATCCTAGCATTTGAGAAGCTGAGGCAAGAGAATTTAAAGTTTAAGACAATGAAACTGTGTGCCAAAAAGAAATGTTAAAAACCCAAGTGTGGTGGCTCACACCTTTAATCACAGCACTCAGGAGGTCTGTATAGCAAGTTCCAGGCCAGCTAGGGCTTCAGGGAGACCGAGTCTAAAAAAAAAGTTAATTGAATGAATGGATGACCTCACTAATTAAACCTGACAACTACTCCATTTAGTTGGTGGCATTGTTTCTACTCTACACCTAAGAAATTTGAAGACAGAAATATGAAACAAGTTTACAAGATTCGATGACCAAATAGTTCCTGTTCTACCATTGTGAGTCTACCTCCTAGCACAGAACCTAGCACGCAGTTGGTGCACAATAAATATTGATGTGTTTGACTTCATAGATGACCAGATCTTAGCAGCATGGATCTGGACATTTTAGTAGCTCTGTTCCTAGTCCACTTTTGTGTTTATTTTATTCACTGCATACTGGTGCTACTGAAGGTTAATCCAGGCCTTGTTTCTGGATTCCTGTTCTTCCTCATTAACAAGCCTTAGAAACCAGTAGGCATTTCCCACTCTGCTTGAATCCTATCATTTCTCCTAGTTCCCAGCTAAGCAGTCCATCACTGTCCTTGCTCCTGCCTTGCAGAGTGTGGGAGCTGAGTAGATCAACAATTGGTCCTGACTCTGTCTTTGTTACTTGAATTTCTGTTATTTTTGTCTGTGCTCTGGGCCACAGATTCGTCATCTCTTAAGAGCCAGACTGGAATTCCATGATCTCAAAGGTTTCTTTCAATTATATGACTTTATGGCTTTAACTTTGTTTATAGTGACCCTTTATTGAGCTTATGACCAAAATGGTAACCAAGACTCCCTACTTTCACCACAACTTCAGTTAAGTTCCTCTCAGTCTTTTACTTGACTAGGCCCAACTTTAGGTTCCCTATCCTAGGAGAATCTAACATGAGGAAGGATGCTGATAAATCAGTTTGGTGGTGATACTCTTGATGTCCAACTCTTATAAATATCTTCTCACTGGCCTGCCTACAGCAGGAATTCTGTGAAGTCAGTCTACCAAAAGTCCCTCTTAGCCCTGATCTTCAGTAAGCTTTTGTCTACTAACTTTCATACTGCTCCTGGATATGAATCCTCACTTGTTTTATTGGAATTGAGTCCTATCTGTCTCATTACTGTAATACCCCACTGCAGTGGTCTTTGTACCTGTCCTCGTCACCATGGACCGTTTTGGATAAGGTCTGCCTTTTTTTCTTTCTTTAGACAGGATCTTGTTACTTAGCCCAGGTGCTGGCCTCAAACGCACTATGCAGCCCAGTTGACCTCAAACAGGTAGCAATCAATCCTCCTGACTCTGCCTCCTAAGAGAGCTAGGATTACAAACGTGTACTATCATGTCCTGCCTAAAGTAAACTATATTTTTTAAAAGAGGTGAGTAATCTTTTCTTTAACAGTGGGATTTGGGGGCTTAGAAGAGGGCTGAAGCCAGCTTTGGGAAAGCTTGAGCATCAGGTGAGTTCCAGATGTGGCCAGATGTGGCCCAGCAAAGATTGCATTCATTCCTCCGGATTGGAGATCTAGGCCAGTTATAGTCCCCCGTGACGCCAGGGGGCGCTGCAGGTTGCTCCCGGAAGCCAGCTCCCCAAACTGTGGGACAGCACCTGACGCTGGGCTCCTCGCTCTTCCGGAAACTGAGCTGCGTGCGGACCCGCAAGCGGTGGCGGGGCGCGGGCTGCTACCGAGGGAACAGGGGACCGGGGCCTGGCTCCCGCGTCCTGCTGGAGCGCCATGGACGAGGCCGGCAGCTCTGCGAGCGCCGGGGGCTTCCGCCCGGGCGTGGACAGCCTGGACGAGCCGCCCAACAGCCGCATATTCCTAGTGATCAGCAAGTACACGCCCGAGTCTGTGCTGAGGGAGCGCTTCTCGCCCTTCGGGGACATCCAGGACATCTGGGTGGTGCGGGACAAGCACACCAAAGAGTCCAAGGGCGTCGCCTTCGTCAAGTTCGCCCGCAGCTCGCAGGCCTGCCGGGCTATGGAGGAGATGCACGGACAGTGCCTTGGCCCCAACGACACCAAGCCCATCAAGGTGCGGGTACCAGGGTAGGGTTCCCGGAGTAGCCGTGCCCGGGCTGGGGTGCTGGCGGGCAGGGCCCCCCGGGGGCTCCCAGCCGCACCCAGTGCTGTGTGCCAGACAGGGAAGGGATTGGACTCCTGCTCCCAGGAACTTACCTGGCAGCACCTGGCGGGGGTGGAGGATGGCTTGGAGGAGAGTGTCCTGGCCCCAGGCCAAAGGAACATCTTCCCGGACTACATATTGGAGCCACGGCCAAGGTCAGAGCAGCTGTGACTGTTGCTAACGGTAACTCAGTGGGCCTAAAGTCCCACTTCTGCCTGTTGTGAAGACTCTTTTCTGACCCTCCTGTCTCAGACGCTTTGGTTAACTGTGTATAAATGGATGACTTTGTGTCCTGGTTGTCAACCTGACATATAAGGAAAGAGAGAATCTCATTTGGGGAATTTCTTCTATCAGATTGGCCTATCAGAATGTTTGTGAGACTTTTCTTGATTATTGAGTGATGTGGGAGGGCCCAGTCCACTGTGAGTGGTTCCACCCCTGGGCAGGTGGTCCTGAGTTGTATAGCAAAACAGGCTGAGCCCAGGTTAGGAGAGCAAGCTTATAAACAGTGTTCCATGGTCTCAGCTTCCATTCCTACCTCTAGATTCCTGTCTTTTCCCTTGAGTTCTTTCCCTGGCTTCCCTCAGTGATGGATTCTGACCAGGGAGTTGTAAGGTGCAATAAACCCTTTTCTCTTCCAAGTTGTTTTGGGTCAATGTTTTGTCCCAGGAATAGGAAGCAGACTAGACACTGTTTTCCCCCAACTTGTCCAAAGCATGTACTTGAAACTGTGGCCTTCTGTTTCTGGCCCAGCACCAGACAAACCTTTGTATGGATGTAATACTAGTGCTTAAATGGCTACAGTGATGCAGTCGCTGTGCTTTTGTGACTTTTCAAATTTATTTTAAACCCTGTTTGTGAAGGTGTTAATGGTAATGTCTTCTCTGTTCTTATCCTTTTTTCTCTTTTAGCACCATTTTTCATTAAAAGCAAATTAAGCTTCCCTGAGATGAGCCAAATGAGTTTTATCATTAAGTGCTTCTTTATACACACAGTTCATTTTAGTGGCATTTCTATTTAATTTCTATGTTGTCTGTAAAATTAAATGCATATGGCAGGAAAGGACATTTTCAGTGTTGACTTACTATCCTTTTAGTATAGTGCCTAACAGTATTGTTCCTCAGTAGTAGCCAAGATGTCACTCCTAAGTGCTGTGCCCTAAAAATTAGGATGGAATCCTGAGAATATGGCAGTTGCTTAAATTATACCTTTTGCCTGTCTTCTAAGAAGTCAGTGCTACATATGTAGTTCTAGTGAAGCTTTCCACATTTTAAAAAAATTTCTCAACTTTGTTTTTACTTATAGAAAATTGAGAATAATATTAATATGGATTTATAAATGAAGAACTCGGATATCTCAGCCTTTGGAGATCTTAACTATACCTTCCCTCCACCCACAAAAGAAGAGAGCCTGGGAATATACCAGCAACATGGTGGACAGTTAAAAAGACAATTACAATCTCATGTCTTTTATGTAGGCGATAATAAGGTTTCAAACTACATGAAGTATATTGAAAGAACTAAAAGGAGAAAGATAATTAATAATCACCTCCCCAACCCTCTGAAATGGTTCACAAGTAGGCATCAATGTAATTAATTATATGGCCACAACATATACTAGATCAGGGGTTGGCAAGCTTTCTCTATTAAAGGGACATAGTAAATATTACCCACTTTGGGTAGCATAGTTTCTGCCATACATTCTTTATTTTCTTTTCATAGCCCTTTAAAATGTAAAACCAGTTCCTCCTTCATGGGGCTGTAGTTTGCTGCCCACTGCACTAGATTAATGGTTTTCATTTTTCCCATTATGACTTTTTTTTTTTTTTGGTCTTTTGGAGACAGGGTCTCCCTGTAGCCCCAGCTATCCTGGAACTCACTATGTAGACCAGCCTGGCCTTGAACTCACAGAGATCTGCCTCCCAAGTGCTGGGATTAAAGGTGTGTGAATGCTCTCTTACACTTCAAGTATAACAAGACCTCAGAACCCATGTGGAGAACCAAAAAATGCCCCAAGTTTGAGATCCCCATTGATAAATTCCCACAGGAAAATTTAAATCTCCACCAGTGAAATGCATACTTTACCCACAAGGAGAGTAAAATGCATGTTCCCAAAGAGTTAAAATTGGCAATTCTGTTTTTCACATTTTTGCTCATTCAGTTTCAGACAGAAGGTTGAAACTTCACTTTCATGTCTAGCCAGTCTAGGTTCATCCCTCAGCAGCTGTAGGGTAGACTGTCTTCTATTGGAACATAGCTGTTTGTCTTTCTTTTGTTTGGTAGTTCCAGTTAGTTTAGTTTTAGGTGTGTGTGTGTGTCTGTCTGTCTGTATTTTATTTTTTGCAAAGTTCAAAGAATCTCTAAGACAAAGATACTACAATCCCATACCTATAGCCAGAAGGTAGTCAAAGCAAAATGACTTTGTGACAAGCTATGCTGCATGCTAGAAGAATGGATCTAGAAATCAGGGAAGTCTTGGCTTTAGTTTTACAAGAATGCTGTTTACCTAGAATATGCGTGTGTTATAGTCCATGTAATCCTGTGGAGGACGAATCTTGCACTAGGTTATTCACCACTAGGCTATTCATCCATCCTACCCAGATACTGCCCTTTATCAGGATTGTAAACAGATTGCAAACAGGCCTCTAAAATTTAGAAGTTTGTGATGGCACCTGTTCTGGTTTGTTTCTCCATTGCTGTAACAAAATACTCTGACCAATACCAACTTGGGAAGGAAAGGGTTTACTCTACTTACATCTCCCGGCTTACAGTTCATCAGGGAGCCCAAGGTCGGAAACTCAAGGCAAGAACCTGGAGGCAGGAGCTGGAGCACAGGCCATGGAGGAACCGCTGCTTACTGGCTTGCTCCCTGGCCCCTGCTCAGCCTGCTTTCTTATGCAACACAGGCCCACCTGCCCAGGGGTGGCACCACCCACAGTGGGCTGGGCCTTCCTACATCACTCAACAATCAAGAAGATACCCCCCAGGGCATGGCCACAGGCCAGTCCAATGGAGGCTTCCTCAACCCAGGTATGTCAAGTTGACACTAAGCTATCCAGCACAGCATCTCTGATCTCATTTTGCCTGAGGCCCCTTTTCCCTAGTATTTCTTAGTGCCTCCCTTTTTGTATTTTTCCATGGATAACTCATCACTGGTGTGTCCACTAAACCCATTTATGATGGGCCATTTCTCTTACTAATACCCACAACAGTGCTTGGCCTATGATGTAAATTATTGAGTAACTGAAAGTAGACTCTGTCTAGGGATGTCTCTAAGTCTCTCTTGTAAATGGGATCCTTCATTTCTAACACAAGCTGTTTCCTGAGTAAAAGTAACAACCTTCTTTTCCCATGGTTCTTGTTTTCCCATGGCTTTTTATGCTCCCTGTCCTTTGGGTTGCTGCCTCCTGTAGATTCCATTCTCCATAGCTTTCTTATATCCCAGTTATATACTGCCCTCCTTTACGGAAAATTGCATACAGCTAAAACCTCATAGGTCCTTGAGTATATGGTGATTTATGTCATTTCAAATTATAAGTATCCATTAAGCTTACTATAGCTAAAACTATTTAAACAAGTCTACAATCTTAGTCACAGTTTTTAACATTCCTCTGGAATAATATAAAACCACGACAAACTGAAAAATAAAATCAGCACTACCAAGCAAATTAAATTCAGATTCATTTCACTGATAATGTTTTAATAAAAGTAAACAGCCAATATTAGAAAAGTAGAGCCTCCTGTGTGTTTTTCAGCTTCCATATGATACTCAAAGAGCTGAATCAGGATATGGTTATGCTACCTTTTTCTAAAAATTAATAGTAGAAAGCAATTGAAACATCTAGACTTAAACCCAACCCTGTGAATAATCACATCAAATATAAATGAACTAAAAACCTTGGGGAAGAGATTATTGCCAGGCATAGTGGCACATGCCTGTAACCCTAACACTCAAAAAGCAAAGGCAAGCAGCTCTCAAGTTCAAGTCCAACCTGGACTACACAGCAAGACCTCATTTCCCCCAAAAGGGAAATATTATGAAACAAAAACCAAAAAACAAGATCCAACTAAATGTTGTTTACAAGTGAAATGCTTTAAATATAAAAATTACTGTGTTGTTGAAAATGAAATCAGCCAAGATGGACTTCAGTATGTGGAATATTAACAGGATAATTTTCATAAAGATGAACACATATTAATCCCACATGTTCATACAGCCAATAATGGAGCATCAAAATACATGAGACATTTTTGGGCAGGGATTGGGGATGCTGGGGATCAGACCCACAGCCTCCTGTATATAAGGTAAGTGTTCTACCACTGAGCTGTGCCCTCAGCCTGAAGCATTACTGACAGACTAGGAGAAAGATGAATGCATAATCAGATTTTTATACTGTCAGAATCTAATAAAAACAAGCTGACAAGATATGTAACATTTTTATAAACAAGTATATAGAGGGCATTTATTCAACACTGTGTCTTACTACTGTAAAGTTTGCATTTTAAAGACCTGTGACCTGTTGATAATCAAAAATGCAAAAGTAGAAATGCATTTAGAAGAAACAATGTAAAGATTGGTATTATATTTTTTATAAACCATTAAAGATTATTTTTGAAAAAAAAATTTGTAAAACCCTATCAGTCACATTGCATTTTAACCTGACCTGCATTTCCCATATTATAAAGTAAATGTGCTTAAGGAATAAGAATACAGTTAACATTATTCTGAGGGTTTTATATGTTTTTTAGGTTTTCATTGCTCAGTCTAGATCATCAGGAAGTCACCGAGATGTTGAAGATGAAGAACTTACAAGAATCTTTGTTATGATACCAAAGTCCTATACAGAAGAAGACCTACGAGAGAAATTTAAGGTACTTATGTTTTCCTCTCAGCTAGCCTATGTCATAACTCCATCCTTACACATTGTACAGTTACTGAAAACTGGAGAATAGTAATGGGGTATCCTCTGCCCAGGCTTTATCATGAAAATATAGATTGTGAAAGATGAAGTGCAAAGCCCCAGAAAGTTTTCATTACGAATACACAGCTAATAGGTGGTAGAACCAAGCTGTAAAGGCACTGTGCCTCCAGAGCCTACACTCGGTCTTTAAATTTCAAAACACTCTCTTATCATTTCTTCTGAATTTCCTGTAAAGGTGAAACATGGGCCTGAGCACATGAGCCCTGTCAGTTCATATTCATTATTGGCCTGTGGTATGCTGACATTGTACTGACTTACAGAAAAGCTTATACTTTCAAGAGTTTTTATCCTAAAATTGGGCTTCTGCACAAGTCATATTTAAAGGGAAAAAAAATGATGGCTCTGAGCTATTGATCATAGCAAATCAAATTTGAAAAAGATTTTTAAATCTTTTTGGGTATACAATGACTATGTATAGACTTTCACAGCAGTTACTAAAAAGAATGTGTAAGTTGTTTTGAGTTGGAGACTTTGTGGGGGTTTTATTTCCATGAATTGGAAGGACAACAAACAAGAAGAAAAGAAGCTAGCAGTAAAAAATAATTTCCAGATGTCTTTTGCCTAGCTGACCTTCAAAAAATAACAACAAAAGGGGGCTGGAGAAATGGCTCAGCAGATAAGAACACTGATTGTTCTTGCAGAAGACCCAGGTTCGAATCCCAGCACCCCCATGGCAGCTAACAACTGTCCGTAACTCCAGTTCCAGGGGATCCAACAGCCTCTTCTGTCCTCTGCGGGCATTGCATGACATGGGTGCACTTACCTACATGCAGGCAATTACACGCATACACATAAAATAAAAATAATAAATAAAAGGAAAAGAAAAAAATAACAGCAAAAAATTATATTACATATTTCTTCCAGTAGTAAGAAAAATGTTTATCTTTTATATTTATAATTTTTTTGTCTTTTTCTAAGAGAAAAAATAAAACATTTTATCTAAATATATCATAATTAAGTTGCTAATTGGTTACAGAATTTTGTAAAATAAATGACACACCATAAATTTATATCCCATCTATCCTCCAAGATTAAAGTAAAATTACTACATATTTCTCACAAAATATTAACTTTCTGAGTCAACCATTATGTATTAGAGGTACGCGTTGAACTATTCTCCTTCAAAAGACTATCTAGTCATTTATGATACTTTTAGAAAACAAACAACATAACTAATGTTACAGACTGTTTGGTGTATGCCAGGTTCTGTAAGCATTTAACACAGATAGCTCATTTAACCCTTAAAACAATGTAATGAGGTAGATGTTGATAGACACTGGCACAAAGTGGTTAAGTAAACTGCCTAATTCATAAGCGAGAGTCAGGATTTGAATCTCAAAATTCCAGTTCCAGAACCTTTATCCCTATCTACTACTGAGCAAGGACATGGATCAGTTCTTTCTCTCCTGGCTTAGTTTCTCTGTGACTTAGGCAAGTTACTTGATTTCTGCAGGCCCAACTTCAAGAGACACAAATAAATAATACATTTTAAGTTCTGAAATAATCTATTCAATTATTAATTCTGAGTTCCCTAAGATCATTTCTTTTCACTCTTACAGGTGTATGGAGATATTGAGTATTGCAGCATTATTAAGAATAAAGTCACTGGAGAAAGTAAAGGTTTGGGCTATGTACGATATTTAAAACCATCACAAGCTGCCCAAGCAATAGAAAACTGTGATAGAAGTAAGAATTTTTTTGACATTGCTAAAAGACTTTTTAAAATTCTGATTATTATAAATAACTGAGCTTACTGCTAGATTTTTGCTAATTTTTGTTAAATGAGTAATGGGTATTTATATATGGCTCAAGACTGAAAAGAAACTTGGGACTGATGAGGCATTCATTGAGGCACTGTCTTGAAGAGAAATGTTAACTACATTGTCTAAGATATGAAGTGCAGTGCATACTTTGGTTACTATTTGGATAGTTTTGGGGCTTTTCAGTATCATTTAAAGTACTTAAAATTGATTTACCTGTTTAGGTTTTAAAAATCTTTTCCTTTGTCTGTCTGTTGTCTTAAGGCAGAGTCTTGCCATGTGGTCTTGAACTCATGATCCTCTTACCTCAGCCTCCCAAGTGCTGGCATTAGAGGCATGTGCCACCATGCCAGGCAAATCTTATTCTGTCTTTGATCCTATTTGACCTAAATCTGAACCAGGATTTATTATACTAACACACTGCAGATTAAGGAAAGGATTGGTGAAATTTGCTATCAGAGATAATTAATTTCAAGCTGTAGTGATAGTAATTGGATCTTTTGCTGTTACTAATTATACATAAAATTGACTTTTAACAAAATAAGATGTGAGATGGCACAAGCCTTTAATACCAGCACTCAGGAGGCAGAAGCAGGCAGATCTCTGAAATTGAGGCCAGCCTGATCTACATAGTGAGTTCCAGGCCAGCTGTGGCTACAGGGAGACGCTGTCTCAAATAAATAGATGATAGATGATAGATAAATGATAGATGATAGATAGATAGATAGATAGATAGATAGATAGATAGATAGATAGATAGATAGATAGATGATAGATAGATAGATGGTAGATAGATAGATGATAGATGGATAGATGATAGATAGATATAGATAGATAGATAGATGATAGATAGATAGATGGTAGATAGATAGATGATAGATGGATAGATGATAGATAGATAGATAGATAGATAGATAGATAGATAGATAGATAGATAGATTGATTACTGGGTTTTAGGATATTATGAAAATCTATATAATCAGTAGAAGTCTTAGATAATGTAGATAAAGTCTATATCAAAATTTTCTTCTTAGGGCCTTTTAAATGTCTCATTCAGCAACTTACTCATCAGTATGCTAAGAGGAAATAAATGAAATACATAGTAGTCCAGGCATTTAAAGATTTTATATGAATATTAAGTATCTAAGACCTAGAAAATACAGAATAGAAGAATATTTTTAAAGACTCTTTGAAAGCAAGAAATATATCTCATCTTGCCATTGCCCCAAATACCTATACAGTCATAGCTCCTCAATGAAGATTGAATGAGATCTTTACCAAAGTAACTGCTTCTCCAGTTTGCTTTTCTGTTGCTGTGATAAAACGTTCTAACCAAAAGCAGCCTGGGGAGGAAAGAGTTTATTTCAGCTTACACATCCACATAACAGCCCATCCTTGAGGGAAGTCAGGACAGGAAGTCAAGGCAGGAACCTGGATGCAGGAACTGAAGCCAAGACCATGGAGGAACACCATGCTTAATGGCTTGCTTAAAGCTTAAAGCTGCTTAATGGCTTGCTCCTCGAGCTCTCTTATACAGCCCAGGCCCATCTGCCCTTCTACACCAATTGGCAATCAAAAAAATACCCTTCAGAAATGGGACAGGCCAATCTGATGGAGGAAATTCCCCACCTGAGGTTCCTTCTTAAGTGACACTGTTATGTCATTTTGATAATAAAAACTGAGCAGTAGCACTGTGAAAAGTGTTCACAAGTGTGTGTGACAGAGAACAACAGGCACACTGGATGAGCATGGGAATTCATCAAAGCAGGTGGGACTTCATCTGGTATGGAGTAGGCAGCACAGAAGGTAAGTCCCTGACAGAAGCTCAGAGCCAGGCACAAACATGGCCCGTGCTCCCTGCTGTGAAGGCCACTGTTTATGTAAAGCACACTATTCTGCTGACAAATCTGAGGCAACGTTAACTAGATACATTGGAATCATGCAGGAGAGGATATAGAGTTCAAGCTTAGTCCACACTAGGATTCTCTTGTAGATTGTTTAAAAATAAAACTGCTTTTAGAACAGATGATCTAACTACAATATTAAGGAGAGATTTCCAGAGAGAGTACAAACCAACTGCTTTTATCATCTTGACAAAGTCACTGAAAAATATAAAAGCTGTGAACCCTTGAAATACACCTATGCACAATAATGTGAATAAGCATTTTGTTTGCAGTTTTAGAGAGTTTGTGGAACCTTTTCATTTTGTGTAGAAAGGGGTGGGAAGGGTACATGCAGTATGTATGTATTTGGGAGGTGAGAGGCTGATGTTGAGGATCATCCTCAATTGCGTATCTACCTTAGTTATTTGAGACAAAGTTTCTCCCTGAATCTGGAGCTCACCAGTTGGCTAGATTAGCTGGCCAGGGAGCCCCAGGTCTCCTGCCTGTGCCTTTCCAGTGTTGGGAATCCAGGCATTCATAGGCTTGTCTGGCTTTTTATGTGGGTGCTGGGGATCTGAACTCAGGTTTCCATGCTTGCTTGGCTAGCACTTTTAACAACTGAACTATTTCCTGCCCCCACCTCACTTTTTGAAGCTCATCCTTAGACCCCTTGATAAGACCCTTGGTCCAGAAACAAGGAGATTAGTTATAGGACTGTTGTGATTAACTGAAGATCTGAATTTTTAAAAGGCAGAGAAGTTATGGTGAAAGCATGCTGAGGACATTTAAAGGAAGCATGTTGGTGACAGAAAATATGAAGATGTCTAGTAGAGTTTTGATGTTGAGGAAACTAGGCAAATAAATGATACCATCTTTACTATAGAGTAATTGGGAGGATATCACAGAATTGTTGGCCTTTCTTGTCTATTATTGATCCATAATTTGAGATTTTTGTTTTTGTTCCTTTCCTTTTTGCCTTCTACCACAAAAGGAGGAAGTAGGGCTGATGGAGCTAGCCATTAGGATTTCGTCTGGTACTATTAGATTTCTAAAGCTAGGTCAGGCACTAACCAAATTTGTTACATTTACTATGACGCTCGAAAATTCATGGATTCTGTCTTTCAGGTTTTAGAGCACTCTTGGCTGAACCTAAAAATAAAGCATCTGAGACCTCAGAACAAGATTATTATAGTAGCATGAGGCAAGAGGCTTTGGGGCACGAACCTAGAGTAAATCTGTTTCCAATCGGTGAGTGGACTACCTTTGCCTTTACTTCAATAGTGTATGGGGTATATGCAATGTAATTTGAATTTTTAAACTATTCTTTTATCAGCAATCTGTGAATCTTACCTAGTGAATAAAAATCTTGCATGTAGTTGTTATTTTCTAAGAAGTTGGTCATGATTTCTAATGCCCTGAATACTTAACTTGTGTTTATTTGCTTATTTCCAATTATAGTTCTTTCTGGCTAGCTATGCATCATCTACATATTAAACTGTGTCACTGTCATTTTGTGTGTGTGTGTGTCTGTGTGTCTGTGTGTCTGTGTGTGTCTGTGTGTTTGGACTTCTGCCTTTGTGCAACTGACCAAAAGCTACAAAAGTTGTATACAGTGATCCCCTTAATGAGCCCTAAAATTTTCTACCAAAACTGCTGGTGCTTTAAAATTACAGCTACAGAAAGGAGAATAACAGAATCAGAAGCTGTAAAAGGGGCGGGAGGAAGGGGGAGACCGAAATAACGTCAGTGGGTGTGATTGGCATAAAATTTCAGATAAAAGTCTTGCCATATTTTGCAGTTTTATGCACTAAACTTACTCCTGTGATACTAAACTATACATTTCTGCTAGTGTTTCTCTGTTGAAGTTGGGGAACTCAGGAAGAGTTGTCTGTTTTCTTGACACTGTTCCTTTCTAGCTGTGCTGATGACTGAAAGAATCCTAGGGGGTGTGGGTGTGATCAGAATTCTTTGTATACATGTATGAGATCCTCAAAGAATAAATTAAATATATATATTTTTTCATTTATTTATTATTTTTATTTTATGCATATGCATGTCTTGCCTGCATGTATGTAAGTGCACCTATGTCATGCAATGCCCAAGGAGGTCAGAAGAGGGCATCGGATTCCCCCTGGAACTGGAGATAAGTACAGTTGTTAGCCACCATGTGGGTGCTGGGAATCAAACTCAGGTCCTTTTCAAGAGTAGCCAGTGCTCTTAACTGCTGAGCCATCTCTCCAGCCCCCAAATATTTTTAAAGTACAAATACAGTGACTTTGTTCAGTACAGTAAATTTTTAATTTTCTATTGTATAACTATTACATGGATTTTTGAATGTGTATAAGTTTAATGACTTACTTTTTTATATATTGTTGGAGAACAACAATCTGAGTTTTCAGGTTTTGAGAAGAATGACAGCAGAGGCCAGGAAGCTATCTCCACACGCCTGTCAGTTGTGTCAAGAGTCCCCTTCACAGAAGAGCAGCTTTTCAGCATTTTTGATATAGTCCCAGGACTGGAGTATTGCGAAGTTCAACGAGATCCTTATTCAAATTATGGTAAAATGATGTCTTTGCTAGTTTTGTTTTGTTTTTAAGATTTTATTTATTTTATTTTATGCCTGAGTGTCTCCCTACAAATATGTATGTGTGCCCCATGTGTGCCTGGTGCCAGAAGAGGGCATCAGATTCCCTGGAACTGGAGTTAGACATGGTTGTGATGTTAAGGAAACATGGTGTGAGTCACCATGCAGGTGCTGGGGAACTGAATCTGGGTTCTTTGCAAGAGCTGCCAGTAGTCGTAACTGCTGAGCTATCTCTGGGTCTTTGCTGTTTTTAAATTTACTGTGTTTTGTTAAAATGGCGTTTTCCATGATACTTTTTATATAAGATGCTATTTATGTGACAGGAGGTTTCTGTTTAGTCTTTTTCTAGTTTATTTTTAAAATTCTTTTTTAGCATACACATGTTCATTGTACAGAGTAATAGGCTTCATAATGACATTTTTGTTCAAGTGTGTCATGTACTTTAACCATACTCCCCATCACCCTCTCCTGGCCCCTTTCCTTTTTTTTCTAATTTATATTTCAAAATCTAACAATATCTTTATAAACAAATCCCTGAGAATGTATCTTCCTTATACAAAGGCATTCACTATACAAAATATTTTAATTCCCACAAAATAAAAGATTCTCTATTTCAGAATACAGTCCGTTTGTGCTCTTTGGATTAATGCTGAGCAGAGTTATAAATATCTCAGTTTCTTCCTCACTGATCCCTAAGTCCCTTTTTCCTAAATGGTACACCTGTAACGAGACTCCATTGCATTTTAGATGCTCTGCTTCTCTCTTTGATTTTTTAGTAGAAGCAAGACCCTAATACCAGGCATGGGAACTTGCTCAGTAGTAAAATTAACTAGACCCAGTATCTGGTGTCATCTTAACTTTTTTGTGTGTGTTGAGCTTTTTTGGTTTTGATAGTTTTCTATTTTTTAATGATTTTTTTTTTTTGAGACAAGTCCTCACATTGCAGCCTAGACTGGCCCCTTGAACTTGTGGCAAACCCCCTCAGCCCTCCCTGCAACCCCCACCAGGACCTTTTGATTTTTATTAAAGCCTTTTGTCAATAGAGTACATGGCATAATGGAAAAAGCTTGGCATTCCAATTGGTGTCAGGTTCAGGTATAAATCCCAGTAACAACATGTAGTTTTGAGACCCTGGCTAATTACTTAACCTTTTTGAGCCTCTCTCTTCCTTGTCTGTAAAATGAATTATCCCAACACTAAAGAAGAAAAGCAAAAGAATTGTTAATTCAAAACCAACCTGGGCTACATTGAAGACCGTGTATCAAAAAACTTAAGACAAGAGAATAGGTTGAATTATTAATAAGTGTCAGACCTGAAACAGAGTTATGGAAAATACCTAATGAAAGTTGGGCGTGGTGGCACACGCCTTTAATCCCAGCTTTCAGGAGGCGGAGGCAGGGGTAGCTCTGAGTTAGAGGCCAACCTTATCTATGTAGGGAGCTCCAGGCTAGCCTGGGATACATAGTAAGACTCTATCTCAAAACTCAAAAAGAAACAAACAAACAAAAAGCCTAATGAAAGTCCTGGCTCATAATAAGTACTCAATAAATCTAAGTTTTGTTTGTTTAAAGAATTAGAAGTAAGGAGTGGTATTTGAAAATCCTATCAGCCTCTCTTCCAGTGGTCTAAGTATACCTGGGTTAGTTGTTTTAAGGTGACATAAATGTTGAGGGTTAGTAGGGAAATGAGTCTGGGCTTCTGGGCTGACAAGCTTGAAATACCTCAACCAATTACGCAGACACCCCCATGTCATTTGTCTTTTAGAACAAATGTCCATCTCAGCCTTCTGAGTCACCCACAACCTTAACCCAATTTTCTGCTGTCATTCTCTGTTCTCAGTTTCAAAGAATAAAGGTTTTGGTCTTTATGTATATTAATATTATGTAAGAAAAGTAAACTGGGCATGGTGGTGAATACCTGTAATCCTGGTACTCATTGGGAGGCAGAGGCAGCAAGATTACAAGTTAAAGACCAGCAGCAACCTGGTCTATGTAGCAAGATCCTGCAAGAAGAAAGAAAACAAAAGGAGAGGAAAGAAGGCAAAAGAAATACCAATGCCCTAAAATTCAATTTATTAGACAGAATATATGCAAATACTCCATTTTTCTTAAAATATAATGTTCATGTTTTTACCAAAATCTGACTTCGGCTTCACTTTCTAAAAATAATGTTACATGTTTAGCAGAACTTTGTTTTCCAATACATTTGATTCTGTTTTTACTAGTTGTGTGATAATAATCAAGGTGATGTATTATTTCATCTTTGAAATACATTGTAACTCAGGGGCTGGAGAGATGGCTCAGTGGTTGAGAGCACTCACTGCTCTTGCAGAGAACCTGTGTTCAATTCCCAGCACCCACATGGCAGCTACAAACTGTCCTTAACTCCAGGTCCAGGGGAATCTGAAGCCCTCTTCTGACCTCCGTGGCATTGCATGACACGGGTGCACTCACATACATGCAGGCAATACATTCATACACGTTAATTATAATAATAATAATAATAATAATAATAATAATAATGGCCATAATCAATCCACCATTAAAAAAAAAAGAAATACATTGTAACTCAGGCCTTCTTTTCCATTTCTGTGTATTCTTTGTTTTAGGGCATGGTGTGGTTCAGTATTTCAATGTAGCATCAGCTATTTATGCAAAATACAAATTGCATGGATTTCAGTACCCTCCTGGGAATCGGATAGGCGTTTCCTTCCTTGATGACGGGAGTAACTCAGCAGAGTAAGTACCGGGTCAGGAGTGTCAGAGCCAAGCTTTAGGTGGACATGATTGGGACTTGAAGAATCAAAATAGAAAACAGTTAACCTCTCAGGTGAGGGAATCACACAAAACAAATTACTATTAAAATACTGAATATTTCTAGTTTTCTGTAAATTGTCAGTTATTGTCTCCAGTCTCCTTAGAAAAATGGCAACACAGATGGTAACTGCACAACTTGCATCCATGGTGTGGAATAACCCAAGTCAGCAGCAGTTTCTGGTAAGTAGGTAATTGAAATAAAGATCATTTATAAAGAATTCAGCCTTTATAATACAGTCATAAATAATATGACATTTGTTTATTACTGAAGGAAGTTTGTTTTCACAGTTGCAGTAAAACCATGTGGGTGCCATAATACACAAGTCTTTAGCTCTTGGCCAGAAATCCCTGAAATACAATTTTTCTTTTTCTCCTTTTGTACCTAACTCTTCAACAGCAATTTGGAGGAAGTTCTGCATCACAGGTGCCTCAAATCCAGACAGATGTTATACTTCCATCATGCAAAAAAAAAGCCCCTCCTGAAACTCCTGTGAAAGAGAGACTCTTTATCGTGTTTAATCCTCATCCTTTACCATTAGACATATTAGAGGATATATTCTGGTAAGATTTTAGTTCTACAAATCATGTTGTTAGTTTAAATAAGTAAATTCACTTTCTTTAAACAAATAATTTTGCCATTCTTACAGTGTTGAAACTTCTTCTATCTAATCCTTTCTGTCCAAGAGATCAAATAATCTTTTTCCCTTCATGATTGTTCCCTTCTCTTTGCCAGTCACATATCTAATCTCCACATAGAATTTTCTGTCTTGTTTTGAATGCAAGGTATGTAGGATGGTTTTGAAAAACTGCATGCGGAGAATGGACAAATCATGTCTCTTGCTAGAAGATGCACCTGCATAGACCTGTCCTGCCCACTAGAATTCTTTTCATGTTCCTGTTCTTGGTAGTTGTAATTCAGCTGAGCAGTGTTTACGAAGCATCTTCCCCTTTGCCAGCACTCAGTTGGATTCCAAGGATTGTGTCACTCAGAGTAAATCACTTGATTGTAGAGGACAGTATAATGAGCCCAATGGCAGGGAGGGTCTGCCTGGTTTTGTATTTTCAGTATACGTTTATATCTTCTTTGGCTTTTTTTTTTTTAGACTTTTGCCTTTTGCCTTATAAGAATGTTAGTGAGGGGGCTGGAGAGATGGCTCAGTGGTTAAGAGCATAGACTGCTCTTGCAGAGGACCTGGGTTTGATTCCCAGCACCCACATGGTGGCCACAAACTGTCCTTAACTCCAGTTCCAGGGGAATCTGAAGCCCTCTTCTGACTTCCGTGGCATTGCCTGACACAGGTTCACTCACATACATGCAGACAATACACTCATACACATAAAATAAAAAATAAAAAAAAAGAATGTTAGTGAGTTAAATAGGTAGATAGGTAGCTTTTTAAAGATGCACACAAAATAGCAGGCATGTGATTCAGATACTTTGACCTTCATTTAAATAATTTATTTAGCTTTTGTTTTTGTTTTGTTCTTGATCCACTCCTGTGCCAGGCAGCTACTGGGCTAGGGTGCTGGAGGTTTTGTGTAAACAAGACATTATATTGTGTTAAAAAGACATGCTAAGGAGTAGCCCCTCCCTCAGCTTTTCTGAGGCCTCTTCTAAGAAACAAGGTGCAAGAGGCCTGCAAGACAAGAGTTTTGCCAAATAGGAGGTTGGGGGTGTCGATTTTGTTTTTTCTGTCAAAGAGAATATGAAAAGAGGTAATTCCAGGCAATTCAGGGGTTAAGAGCACTGTCTGCTCTTGTAGAGGACCTGGGTTCAGTTCCCAGCACCTACATGACAGTTCACAACCGTCTATAATTCCAGTTCTAAGGGATCCGACCCCCTCTTCTCACCTCTGTGGGCACTCTGCATGACATGGTGTACTTACATACATGCAGGCAAAACACTCATGCACATAAAATAAAAATAAAAAATATTTTAAAAAAGAAAAGAGATAATTAGAATATGAACTTTGAGAGTGTGGGGAACTCGAAGCTAGAGAGGCCAGTGAAAGCTCTAAGTTTGTCCTTCCCTGGTAGGCAACGTGGAACTGTTTGGGTTTTAGGGAACCGACAGTCATACTCTGTTTTAGAAAGATCACTCAGAAGACAGAGTAAAGAATAGATTGGAGATGGACAAGCCAGAGGGTAAGGAGACTAGTGAAGAAAGTCTTAGTAATCTAGTGACAAGATAAAGATGGTAATGAAGACAGAGCCTAAGGGCGAATGAAGAGAGGTTATCAAATAAAGAGGCACCTGTGGAGTGAGACTGGCAGGAGTTGATGTGGATGGAGCAGGGTGAGAATGAGGCAAGACTGGAATCTATCAGTAGCATTTATTTCAGCTGTTTGTTTTTGCTTTGTTTCAGCCGTTTTGGTAACCTCATCGAAGTTTATCTTGTGTCAGGAAAAAATGTGGGCTATGTCAAGTATGCAGATAGAATTAGTGCTAATGATGCCATCACAACTTTACATGGAAAGATTCTGAATGGGGTCAGACTTAAGGTGATGCTAGCAGATTCCCCAAGAGAAGAATCTAACAAGCGGCAGAGAACTTACTGATTCTTAAGGTAAGTATTTCTTACTAACAACTATTACAAGACAAATATGTGTAAGGATTTTCATTGTGGATTTTTCTTTTTAAGGATTTAGAAGCTAATTAAACCACTTTGGCTTAAAATTCTGTTGATAAAGCCAAGTTCTTTTTGTAATATGTTTTTAAACTTAAAACTTTTAAACTCAAGGCTAGAGAGATGTCTCTCTGGTTAAGAGCACTTGCTGCTCTTCCAGAGGACCAAGTTTGGTTTCCAACACCCACATTAGGTAGTTTCACCCACATTAGGTAGCTTACAACCACCTGTAACTCCAGCTCCAGGGGATCTGACACCCATTTCTAGCCTCCACAGGCACTGCACACATGTGGCAGGCATTCACTCATATAGACATTTACAGACACCTAAATAAAAAAGTCTTTTATTAAAAGTTTTTGGCATTTACTAGAAGAGTTTTTTTTTCTTCTATAAAGTAATATCTCAATTAAAATTACTTTTTGCTATGTACTTTCGTAACGCTGAAATTAAAATAGTTCTAAAGAATTTTAGTTTAAATAAGTGCCATCTTACATTAAGAATTGAGATCATTTTTGACATTCTTTATAAAGAATCTTTTGGGTTTTAGACATGGCTCAGCGTTTGAAGAATCTTTTGGCTTCTTGCCAATGAAATATGTAAAAGCACTCTCAAATTAGATATCTTTTTTGGACTTTTTGAACCTAAATATTGATGTCTTTATGAACTTATGTTTAGGAGTTTGTACATTAAAAGTGTACATTCAGAAAATATTTTTATGTTCACGTAAGTATATTTTAAAGAACTTTGAGCATTTGCTAAAAACCCATTTGTTTTGAATACTAATACAGCCTATTCCTTTTCCTATTTATTAGTTTTCAAGCCTCAACTTCATTCTCTCTGATAGATTCTTTCTCTATGGCTTGAGGGAGACATTATCTTTAGGTTGTTTTTTTCCATAGATGAAGAGTTTCAGGGGAGGCTGGGCACCCTTCCTATACTCATCACCCTCCCTACCCCGCTACAGATTGAATGCATTCGGTGAAAGCTGCTGGCTTGAAAACAGTTTTTTCTCCCTTAAGGCTCTCGTTTTGATCATTGATGTGAGCTAGTAAATGTCAGAATTAATCATCTTAGGCCTCCTTGTTGAAGACCTTCCTTTCACAGAGCAAAACAAGTGAATAGTTCCTCCTTCATAGAAGGCATTTAGCAGTCAAAAAAATGCCCACTGGACCCATTATGAATAATCTTACTTTGAGGATTTTTTAATTTAATGACAGAAACTACTATCATACCAATGTTATCAGTTTACCCCTAGAAATATTAAATTGCTAGTGAAAAAAAATTAGCAAGCAAATTTTCCTGTTTAAGAATAAAATGTTAAGAATTCAGTTCCATTAGATGAACAGTCTTCTAAGATCCTCTGCAAAAATTGTACTTATTCTTGTCTCCAAATATTTTAATATGTTGTTGATAATTAGTTATTGCTTTTCTTCAGTAAATTTTTGCCTTTTAAAAGGGTAGTAATATGACTTCCTAGTAGAAGAAAATACATAAATTACTCTCATGATTGAGCCTTTCTTGGTGATAATTTACATTTTAAATGGATTATTGGCTTGTAATCCCAGCACTCAGGAGACTGAACAGAAGATTGAGTTTGAGGTTAACATAGGGAGCCCTTTCTGAGGGGAGGGGAACAGGTATGATGCACATGGGAGGAACAGGCAGAGGATCAAGAGTTCAAACTCATATCTGGAAAACATGAGACCATATTGAGAGAGGGGAGAAGAGAGAGATAGAGACAGAGACAGAGAGAATCAGAAAATCTAGATTAAGGGAATGGAGAGATGGCTCAGCAGTTAAGAACACTGGCTGCTCTTGCAGAGGACTCAGATGGCACCCAAATGGCAGCTAACAACCATTTGGAACTCCAGTTCGAGGGGATCTGATGCCCTCTTCTGACCTCCACAGGCATTGCATGGCATGGGTGAACTTACATGCATGCAGGCAATGCACTAATACACATAAAATAAAATACAATTTTTTTTTAAAAGAAACAAAATCTAAATTAGAACTTTTCCTCCAATACTTAATAACAAACAAGTCTCTTAACTTTTCTGAGGCCGGGGTTTTTCATAAGGTTATTGAGAAACAGTGAGTCAGCAGAAATCCTTGGAAAATGAAAGAAAGGCTTTTATTAATGTGAGCTAAAACTCTTAATGGTTTTAATGGAGCCTTTCAGATGTCATCTCCCCCAAAATAATGACACCCAAATGATCTGAAAGTAAAGCCTAATGGTGCAAAGTGCCCTCGTGGCCAGCTGGTACCATGAGAACCAAGCTTCAGAGTACTATGTCTTCATCTTAGTAGTGACGCACAATCATCTCACACAGCATGGGTAATCATAAAAGTATAAACCCATCATTTTTCCCTCTTTGAATTTTTATATGGATTCAGGGCAGAGAGCAAATAGAGTCATATGTTTGAAGATAGTAATTGGGTTAAGATAAAATTATCTATAATTTGGATGTCTTCTAATTGCACCATGACTTGCTTATTTTTGCTACACATTATCTACATACACATGGACTCCATAGTGAAATTTTCTTCCTTTTTTGATGCATTAAATAAACACATTGGTCAAGTTTAGTGGACTGAACCTATAGTTGCAGTTACTTGGAGGCTGAGGCAGTAGAATCATCTGAGCCCAAGAGTTCAATCATAGCCTAGATGACAGAGAGGCCCTGTCTCAATAAATGAATAATCTTATTTTAAGGTTCAACAAAAAAGTATACTAGACTTTCTCAAGTTTTACATGACTGACAGTAGGGAGTTTCTTCGGTGTGGGGAGGTGCACTGGTTCCTTAGCTTCAAGAGGGCGCAGAGAGCTCTTGAACGTTATAGTTGCTTTTGTGTCTAAAGAATAAGCCTGGGCTTAAGTGAACCACACCTAAGAAATAGAAAGCTGGTCTTAGAGTAAATGTTGAAAGTAGCCAAGCTCTATTTTAAGATAAGTCTTGTTTTCATAATATATTTCTCTATTTGAGGAAAATAGAAATTTTTAATTTTTCAGAGCACCTGATTTTATATTAGTTCACAGAAATTTCCCTCTAGAAATTCAGTACCTGCTTGCATTGTCCTTCTGAGTAAGTTGGTTTTATTTACTTGGGAGCATTATTAAACAGATAAGATTGGCTGTATTAAAATAAAAGATTCCTAACATTTTAGGGACACTATACAATAGTTGTTCCTTTCAGGTGATGATTTTCATACTTGTGTTGTGTTCTTTCTACAGAACAAAAACTAAATAATGACATAATCCTCAGATGACTGACTGAAAATGTGACTGGACGAACTCCCTGTGGACAGTTGACAGCTTTTCCCCCCACACACACATATCTGATAGTCTGCACAACATTATTTTGTCTGGGAAGCAAGGATTGCTGACATGTATTTTTGAATCCATACTTTAATGCTAAAACTAATATAGCATTTGTTTCTTAGAGCAATCTGTTGTTGTGTGTAGCAAAAATAAAGTTTTCTTAGAGCAATATGTTGTGTATAGCAGAAATAAAGTTTTCTTTGCTTAACTAAATCATGACTTATTTATGTGAAAGACAATGAAAAAGTTAGAGACAGTCTTTAGATTTTGACTAAGTGACTATTTCATTGATTTTGATGTGTATATTCCTCACATTTTAATGTCTGAAAGTAGACACATCTTGATATGAATTGTATGATGTAGTGTGATTGACTGTTTCTTTCCTAATGGAACATGGTGCTTTGCTTCTTTCTTTCAACCACTCGCATCTTACATTCAGTGAAATCTGCTACTGCTCCTCAGTCTGCACAGTCTCACTGCTTACACTACAAAGACAAGAGCCAGAAAATATGTCACAAGAAAGACTGGAGTGCTGTGTTTTTATAGTCATACCAAAATTTGATAATAATCTTCGGATTGTGAAGCAGCAATGATTTAAAAAATTGAAGGGCTGTCTCTTTTTTTTTTTTTTTTTTTTTTTATGGGTTATCACCTTGAACTCCCCTGTCTTAGCCTCCCGATTGTTGGGATTACAGGTATGAGGCACCATGTCCAGCACGTTCTTCATTTTCACTTCAAAATGATATTTCCTATCTTAGTGTGTTTGATCATTGCTCACATGCCTGTTGTATTTTTTAATGGCCATTATGTTCCTGTATTTAAAGGGAAAACGGCCATCCTCTCAAAGCCACTGACATAGTTAAACTTTAAGCCAAGTGTTATAGCCCATACCTAAAATCCCAGCACTCAAGTCATACAGGTAAGAGGACTACTGTGCATTTGAGCCCAACCTGGGCTACAAAGTGAGACCCTGTCTTTTTTAAAAATATTTTATTTGTTATTTTTATTTTATGTGTATGAGTGTATTGCTTGCATGTGTATAAGTGCACCTGTGTCATGCAGTGCCCACAGAGGTCAGAAGAGAATGTCAGATCCCCTGGAACTGGAGTTATAGATGGTTTTTAGCCACCATGTGGCATTGAACCCAGGTCCTCTGCAAGAGCAGTCAGTGCTCTTAACTGCTTAGCCATCTCTCCAGCCCCCAAGACCCTGTCTTTATATATTTAAAAAAAAAAAAAAAAAACAGGAATAGCATACTGTATCTATATTTTAAAAATTCAAGAATAAAAATTTTATCAGCTCTACGAGTGAATGAAAATGTATCAAAAAGATTTATCTAAGTCAAGAACAGTAACTTAAAAAAGGTTATAAATGAATTACAGTTCTAAAAATACTACTTAATTACTCCTTTATTGTGTCTATCATATCCTAAGTTACTCTAAAAATAAGGAAAGGTTAAATTCAGGGAGCTTAATAGAATATTTCAAACCTTTCAAATTTCTCCTTTGAAAAATTAGAATCCTTTTTTTGAATCACTCATTTTCATAAATTTTCTTTAGATAAGAAAATTTCATCTGCTCTTCCCAGGCAAGAACTGAGCCAGCCAGATATTTTTCTGTGA